AAGCTTCTTGTGCCAAAACCCAAAATCTTTGCACCGCCACACTGTAAGACGTAATCCATTTGCAGCGAAATGGCATTAAACTCGCTGTTGTTGATACTCCAGTAGACACCGAGTTCAATTCTGTTTCACCACAAATGGGCTGGATCTTTAAGTGTGGCGGCGCAAAGATCCAAATATACTGGACAAGTTGCTTAGCCCGGAAAGGTCTATTCGAGGCAGGCTATCTGGTTTCACTTTTAACACTGAGAACCCGAACGCCACGAGTATAGCGTCAATTGGTACAGTGTAAAAGCATTGCACATGAAGTGCAATGCCTCCCCATCCCAATGCATTAGCATAGGGCATTTGCAGGACGCATTGCACGTAAGGTGCAATATGACTGAAGCATTGCAGGTACTCTACAAACTGAAGTGTGAACTCAGTCATCAAGAACCTATATAGCCCCAATCCGACTGACTGACTCACTCACTGACTCACTCATAGAAATGTTTGGGGTCAAGGAGTAATCGTAGAGACTTGCGGTTTTTTCCATTCGATTCTAAATTTTATAGGTAAATGGGGAAAAATTTCAAAAGTTGAAAATCCCTCACCGTTTCCGAGCAAACCCACTCAGTCTTCAAAAAAAGGGACTGACCGACTAAAAATTTTTATTCACCCAATCGGTAGGTCAGGTCGATACATTTCCGAAACTGTGCCGCAATCGGGTCCTCGTCACCGGCAACATCCTCAAAACGATGAAATAGGCCTAAATTTAACAAAATCCACTCAATCTTAAAAAAAGGGGACCGGCCGATTGAAAATTTTTATTCGCCATATCGATAGGTCAAGTCGAGACATTTCCGAAACTATGCCGCAATCGGGTCCCCGTCACCGACAACGTCCTCAAAATCAAGAACCTATATAGCACCAATCTGACCGACTGACTCACTGACTCAGAGATAGGGATCGAAGTGCCGGAAACTTTCCGGAAAATTTCCGGAAATTTTTCGGAAAATTTCGAAAAATTTCCGGACCCCTGAAAAAGTATGAAATATTGGAAATTTTGGTGTTTTTGAGTTTTTGACTCATTAATGCACACAAATCTGTCTTTACGATTTCCTTAGTGTATTGCACGATACATTTTACATTGTGCGAGCGACATGTCTCCCTCAGCCCTCTCGGCGTCACCTTTTTCAGTTTAGTTAACCCAAAAATACACTTCTGTTTTCCAGTTTGAATTTTACGCCTTCACGCGCGCTTCCGGTAGGAGGAGTTGGAATGGCCAACTCACATATGCGTGCTGCGCAGAGGGCACAGGTTCACTGTTAAAAAATGGTTGTACAGAAACAATCAGGTGAGTAAAAATTTAGTCGTTCCAAAACATGGAATTTCATCATGCACCAAAGCGAAACAACTGTCGTTGACTCAAGTCAGCGACAATTTGTCGTTGAAGAACAATATTCTTGTTATCACCCTTAACGATACAATTTGTGTGGAAACAACATCTTTTGCAATTATCTGCTCAATTAAAGCGGATTATGAAAATTCATCTAATTTGTTCGCCAAGTCATAGTGAAATTACTATTGATAAAAAAAGAACCATGCAAAATAAATTTAGCGACAAAAGTTCTCCATGAGTACTTGTTGCAGACATAACAAAATCTTTTCGACTTACAATACTTGTCGTT